GGGGGGGGGGGACCCTGCTGCAGACGCGGGGGCCCTGACGGCCTTGAGCCGGAGCTTCCTGTTTACGAGGCGCAGATGCTGAGCGGCCCCCCTGCTCGCGGCCCGCTGTGCGCCGGGCGGTGGCGGCCGGAGGGTCAGCCGGGCAGCGAGGGGCTGCGCCAGGTCGGCTCCAGGGCGGGAGGACGTGCACTTGGCTGCGGGGATCCAGCTGATCCCCCTTTTTGCCTTCAGCTGGGTACCCCACCATCACCCTTCTCTTTGCGCCCGTAGGTGCTCTGCGTCTGTGTGAATAGGTGATTGTTAAAACCTAGGCCCTGCCCTGGCTGCTGTGGCTCCGTGGTTAGAGCATCGGCCCGCGCCGAAGGGTCTCGGGTTCGATCCCCCGTCCAGGGCACGTACCTGGGTTGCAGGTTCCATTCCCAGCCCCAGTCGGGGTGCTTGCGGGAGGCAACCCGTCAAGGCGTCTCTCTCACATCGATGCTTCTCTGTCTCTGTCTCTGTCTTTCTCTTTGTCTCTCTCTCTCTCCCTCTCCCTTCCACTCTCTGAAAATCAATGGAAAAAACATCTCTGGGTGAAGATTAACAAGATAAAAAGAACCTTAGGTCCTTTGAGAAGTCGCCCCCATCGGAAGTCCAGGCTCTGGGGCCTGGCACTGACTGGAGTCTGAGAGTGGACAGATGTGTCACCAGTGCTCCTTGTGTGCTTACTGGCCCATACTTGCCGGGCGTGGGTTCATCGCAGCTGACCGCCTCACGGTCCCTGTGCCAGAGGTGTGTTTAGTCAGGGAGGGAGACCCCTTCCTGCCGGACCCGAGTCAGCGCAGGCCCGGAGGGGCCCAGGCGGGGGCGGGCAGGTGGTGTCTCCGAGAAGGTGGCCCCAAGCTGGACAGAGGAGGCAGGCAGCTTCCTAGGCAGGGACCGTGCGAGTAAAGGCTCAGAGGTGGGGCCCGAGTGGCCTGTCCCAGAGCTGTAGGTGTGTTGTTAGGACTGGAGCCTGGGCTGCAGGAGAGACTGGCCAGTGAGGCTGGGAGGCGGCAGGGCCAGGCCAGTCACGGAGGAGCCCGGAGCCTCACCGGGGCAAGGGTGCTGGCACTGAGGGGCCGGCCCCGTCTCCCTCAGCCTCCCCCCCGCTCGGGGAGGGTGCTCCGTACACTGGGTGGAGCGTATGAATATGGGACGGCACCCGGATCACGTGGGACTCAGAGGGGACTTGACTGTGGAAGGGCTGGGAGCCAGGTGGGCGGCTGCAGACTCACTGCCACAGACGATGGAGGTATTGAAGGTTTAGGGGCAGGAAGGTGGACCTGGAGGCGGTGTTTAAGGGGGTGTGTGTTGGCGAAGTCTGGGGCCAGCGGAGGCCGCTGCGTGGTCTGGGACGAGGGCATCGTGGTACCTCTGTTTGTGATTTTGCAAAGGGGAGGGATGGGGTTTGCTTGGCAATCGAGTTGTAGGGTTTCTGGGAGCGGTCTGTGTCTAACCTGGTGTCTCTGTCTTTCCCGCCCTAGATATCAATGAGTGTTTGAGTGTCAGCCCCTCGTGCCCTGTGGGGCACACGTGCATTAACACGGAGGGTTCCTATACGTGCCAGAAGAACGTGCCCAACTGTGGCCGTGGCTACCACCTCAACGAGGAGGGAACCCGCTGTGTGGGTTAGTATTAAAAAAAACCACCAACCTGAAATGGGCTTTTATCTCCGCTCCCAGCACAACCCTCCCCAAAGAGAAGCCATTGCTACCTGTCCGTCCGTCCCCTTGCTGATCTCCAAGCCCCGGCCTTGATTGTCTGCTGCTTGGACCATTGCAGTAGAATGCCAGCCCACCCACCGCCTCCGGCTTGTCCCTCTCACTCTGTCCAGTCATCCCGAGTGGAAAGCTCTCTTGCCCCTCCATGCCCACAGCCCACAGCCAGAACACAGGTGCCCCTGCTTATAATTGAGTCATCCTGAGCTGCCCCAGCCTCACAAACTGTATAATCCAGATGGAATAAGTCTGGCTGCTCCCCAGACAAGCCTACCTTTCCTCTTGCATTGGTCCCTTTGCCCACCTGCTCCTATGTGCCTGTGAATCCAGGGCCCGGATCCCTGCCAGCCGACAGCGTCTGCTTCCCTGTCACTCCCAGAGCACTTCCTCGGCGTCTCCCCCGGTCACTGGGCACTTCCTGCTTAACTAAGGTCATTGTGACTGGCCAGGGCAGGAGTCTCCCGAGGATAGGGACCAGCTGTCCCCCCGGCATGGGCCCCACACGCAGTAGGTGCTCCGTGAAGTCGTGTTGAAGCACAAGCAATGCTGCTTTGTCATATCCATTTCAGCTTATCCTTCCTTTCTGACCATCCTGGGGACACACACACACGCACGCACTCTGGAGGTGTTCCAACGTGTCTTCTCTTTTGCCAGATGTGGATGAGTGTGCGCCCCCCGCTGAGCCCTGCGGGCCAGGGCACCTCTGCCTGAACTCCCCAGGAAGTTTCCGCTGCGAGTGCAAGGCTGGGTTCTATTTTGACGGCATCAGCAGGACATGTGTGGGTACGTGGTGTCCCCATAGGCTTTGGGGGGTTCCCGGCCAGGTGGCACTAAATTGAACCAGCCCGTTGTCTCCCCGAGTGACCATGGCCTGTTCCTCAGAGCAGGACCCCAAGTCGGGAGATGCATCCCGGCTCTGACTCCGCGGCTGCCCCCCCGGGCCTGAGCCTGTCTCCCGCCTGTACAGCAGGTGCCCCACATCACCTCAGACCTCGAGTGCTCATGAGGCTCCGGCCACCCTACAAATGCCCAAACGATTCGTGATTTCCCAGAGAGTCACGGCTGACCTGCAGGGCCGCAGGGCCCCGAGCTGTGCATATAGCCCGGAGCAGTGAGAACCAAAGACAGCATGGCAGAGGCCACCAGGGGAGGGGACAGACCCTGCTCCCGGGCCTGCCATCCCCTCACCAGAGTGCTCAGGCCAGGCTGGCACCTGCCCCGCCCACTCCAGGGGCCCTTGCTCAGAGCCCCTGGGCCCTGGTGGGCACACGCCCAGAAGTGTTGTCCTGTGAGGGGCAGGGGTGGCCCAGTGGGCCCTAGCTTCCTGCTGACTTGCCCTGTTTTGGGGACAAGCCGCATTGCCTGTCTCCTCTGACGAATGAGGCTGAAAGGCATGGCTAAGGGGGGAGGCCGTGGCCCCTAAGCCGCCTGCCCGCTCCCTTCCAGACATCAACGAGTGCCGCCGCTACCCCGGGCGCCTGTGCGGCCACAAGTGCGAGAACACGCTGGGCTCCTACCACTGCAGCTGCTCCGTGGGCTTCCGGCTCGCGGCCGACGGCCGCTCCTGCGAAGGTGAGGGGCCTAGGGCCGGGGCAGCCCGCGGGGGACTGGCCCACGCTCGTTTCCCAAGCACGTGGTGAACGACACGCTAGCGGGGGAATGCCTGTTAAAAGGTTGCTTGTCAGAGGTGACGCCCGCCTGAGTTCCCCTGCGTCCCGGAGGGGCTGGTCACACCTGACTGCCAGAGTGGGGTGAACAGGCTGGCTGAGACCCAGCCGGGGGTGGGGGTCTGGAGGCCTCAGAGCCACTGCTTGTCCACGTGACCTTGGGGAGTGGCTGACCTCACCTGCCTTGGTGGCCTCACGGGAAAATGGGGTTAGATGTCAAGGAGAAACAGAAGCTGGGCAGGTTTTATGTAGACCACTGCAGTAGGGGGGAGACCTCACGTACGTTGGTCTCAATGCCACCAAAACAAAAGGTCCAGGGCGACTTTTTTTTTTAATGCTCACCCGAGGATATTTTATCCCATTGATTTCAGAGAGAGTGGAAGGAACAGAGGGAGGGTTGGAGGGAGGGAGGGAGAGACACACATCAGTGGGAGAGAGAAACATCGGTTGGTTGTGTGGGAGACGGGGGCCAGGGATAGAACCTATAACCCAGGTACGTGCCCTGACTGGGAATCGAACCCAAGACCTTCCAGTGCACAGGACGATGCTCTAACCCACTGAGCCACACCGGCCGGCCTGGGGGGCAGCTTTTTAAATGCTGGGGCGTGCTCAGGGAGCGCCCTGAGGGTGTTAAGGGGTGGTCCATGTGATCAGGCCACTAGGCCGGCCGTGTCTGCTCCCAGCCTCCTGTCCTGCTGCAGAGACGGGATGGGCACATTTCAAACACGCGGCTCCCGTCTGTGAGAAAGACACTCCTGGGTGGTAGACGGTGCGTCTCAGAGGGACAGAGAAAGGACTCACATTTGCAAGTTTCCTAAAGGAAGCGCTTCTGAGGAAAAGGGGCCTGTAGGCAGGCGTTGGTGGGAATGCACAGTGAATTCTCTTGGAGTCATCGAGGCCTCCCAGGCGGGGCTTATAAGGAGGCTTAGGTCTCGCCCTCGGACACCGTCTTGGGCCAGTAGATGCCATGCTGACTGCTCGGGTCCCTGAGTGTGTGAGGTGGGGCTTGGACAGACTCCTTGGTGCCCAGGGTCTTGGGTTCTCAGGTAACAGCGACCTCCTCTGATGGGACGGACGGGATGAGGTGACCAGGGTGTGCAACGTGGGGTTGGGCACCTCTGGGTGCTCAGCAGATGCCACGTCTCCCGTGGAGATCAGGTCTGAGGTCAGCAGAAATCGAGACCATTGACAGCCCCCGGCGATCCCCACGTTACCCGTCAGGCCCTGTTCCGTGCAGTGCGGTGCCGGGGGCCGTGGTGGAGCCGGACCTAGACACGGCAGGTCTTAGAACTCAGGGAGGAGAGATCACGGAGGGCCCGTCTGCCAGGCTGCCCTCACTGCACGTAGCTCAGACTGGAGGGCAGACTGTGTAATGTGCTCCTGGGGCCTGGCTTCCCCCGAGATCCTGGGACTTGTCCCCCAGGAATTAGACCCAACTCCTGCATATTGACAAGGATCCAGGTTCCCACCTGGGGGTCCTCCGGGCCTGGGTTTAAATCCCAGCTCTGCCATGGCCTGGAAGAAGTGACTCGGCGTTTCTAGGCCTCTGTGTTCTCATCTGTACAATGGGGATGTCACCTGGGAGGGGTCACGATGCAGCAGGTGAGGAGCTGTCACACAGCCAGGCTGTCACGTCATCCGGACGGGAGACGCGGCATCTCGCAGCGGGCAGTGGCTGGGATGGGGAATCCAGGTCCATCAGCGGTGGGGGGGCCAGAAGAGGTGCCTCTTTTCTTCTGGTGACCCTAGGTGGGCCCCCAGCCCCGCGCCCCAGGACCTTCCACCTCTCCGCCTGTGTTCACGGCCCCCCCAGGGACGTGGGACGTGGCTCAGAGCCCTGACCCGGGACCCTGTCTTGCAGACGTGAACGAATGCAGCAGCAGCCCCTGCAGCCAGGAGTGCGCCAACGTCTACGGCTCCTACCAGTGCTACTGCCGCCGCGGCTACCAGCTCAGCGACGTGGACGGGGTCACCTGCGAAGGTGAGGGCGCCTGCTCCTTCAGGCCGGCGGGCGGTTGGTTTTTCCCCCTAAGGGAGATTTACCCGGGTGCCCTCACCCACCTCGAGTGAGGGTTGGAAGGGAGCAGAGCCGCCGGGCACCGTTTTCTTTAATAAAAGCCTAACGATGGTGATCGCCGTGTGTGCGGAACCCCCGCAGGACTTGGCGGCGGTGTGTCACCCAGGGGTGAGGAGGGGGCTCAGGGCCACCCACATCCCTGACTTTTGAAAGCCCCTCACCGGCCTGGGCCCTCCTCCTCTGCACCATGGTGGGTTCACCCCGGACTCTCTGGGTAGCCGGGGAATGAAACCCAGAGAAGTACAGCGCCTGGCATGGCAAGGTGCTTAAATCAACCATTAGGATTATTGCCATTTCCGTGGGAGGGGGGTTTTTGTTAGCACGGTTACAATAATTAGCACCAGGATGCACTGGCAGCCTGCAGGGCACCTGTCCTGGTGTCATTCTGAAGCCCTCTGCCCGGTCCCTCTGCCCAGCTCCCCATCTGTCTCCTCAGATGCACACTCTGCACCATGAACTTGCTGTGTGGCCCCAGGCTAGCTCCTTTCCCTCTCTGGCCCATTTCCCCTTCTTTTTAAAAAAATTGATTTTAGAGAGAGAGGAAGGGAGAAGGGTAGAGAGATAGAAACATCGATGAGAGAGTCATGGATCAGCTGCCTCCTGCAGGCCCCCTACTGTGGACGGAGCCCGCAACCCGGGCACGTGCCCTGACGGGAAATAGATCCAGGGACCTCTTGGTTCATGGGTTGGAGCTCAACCACTGAGCCACACTGGCCGGGCCCTTCTCCCCTTCTGATGTGATGACCTCTGGTACGGCCCCAGCCCTGGCGTTTTGAGAGCTCCTGTGTCCAGCTGGCCCTGTGTCCCAGGCCCCAGCCCAGGGCCACACAGGACGCTGAGGGGGGCCCTTGCTGTTGCAGACATCGACGAGTGTGCCTTGCCCACCGGGGGCCACATCTGCTCTTACCGCTGCATCAACTTCCTTGGAAGCTTCCAGTGCAGCTGTCCCTCGTCCGGATACAGGCTGGCCCCCAATGGACGCAACTGCCAAGGTGAGCGTGCTGGGCTCTGCACGTCGCTGGGGGCTCTGCGGTATTGGGGCTGAGGCCCCGACCCGGGGGCCACACCTCAGGCGGGTGCATTTGGGAAGGGGAAGGGAGGCCTCGTCATCCAAAGTGTATCCTGGGGTCCATGGGTGCCCTGGTCTCCCCCACCTGCCCCTGCCCCCAGCACACCTGTCCTCAGGGTTCTGAGCCCGCCTGCCTTGCCCTTGGCAGCCCCGAGGGGGCCGGAACAGGGGCTGACAGCCTTTGGGAAGATGCCCACTGGGGAGGAGATGGGACGTCTATGCCCGAGGACCCTATTCCAGAGCACAGTGCTGTTTGCCCAGTTTTCATTCAGTCATTCGACAAATGGGCCAGACCTCGCCAGGGCAAACAGTGAGCAGGTGGTGGAGGCCAAGGTGCTGATCCCTGGCAAGGGGGTGTGTGGCCTGGGTGTGTGACAACTCCAGGGTCTCTTGGGCTGGGAGGGTCCCACTGGGGCTAGGGCTCAGCTCCGGCACGCTCCAGGGGTCACCCTGTGTGCTGTGACCATCCTTTTGGTAACTGAGAGGGGTGCTGAGTGGATATTCGTGAATGAGTAGCCGGGAATGGAAACATTGCCTCACCTCTGGGAACAGCCCCAGGAGCTGAGTCATAGAGGTTGGATCTGTCCAGCCCCTTCCTCATGAGCCCCCACATGGGGCTGGTGACCCAGAGGCTCTGGGGCCCCAGGTTCTGCAGATTCGTTTCTGGTCCTGCAGAAGGTGACTTTGACCCCAGGCAGCAGCCTGGCATTTCCTGGGAGGGCCCTGCTCAGCTGGCCCCAAGCTCTGGGTGGGAGACCCAGAGACGCTCTGTTTTCACATTTCTGAGGGAGCAAATAACTTCCCTTCTCCTGGCCAGGCTCCCTCACCGCAGCCCCAGGGTCCTGCCAGACGCAGCAAAAACACATTCCTGAGCCGAGGCCTTTGAGATTAGGAGGCATATTTTTGCCACCAAGGTCGGACATTCGGCCCCTCTTAAGAGATGCCCCCTGGCTTTGTGATGCCCCCCGGGCCCCACCATGTGCCTGCTCTGGAGGTTGCGGGAAGGGGGACGGCTCCCCATGTCCAGGGTCCAGCCCAGACATCACTGACCCCAGACACTGGGCACAATGTAGGATCCCATGAGGCCTTGGCTTCCTAGTCTGGACACGAGGCTCCCCGCTGCCGCTCTTTCCTCGCTGGGATGCTCTGAGCCACCTGAGCCGAGGGTGCTGAGCCTCCGGAGCTGCAGAGAGGCCCTGGTGGGTCAGAGCACAGACCCTGGCGCCAGCCTGCCTGGGTTCAAAGCTCGGCTCTGCCACTTACGACATGCTTGACCTCAGGCCAGCTCCCCCCGGAGTGAGGATGGCAGCAGTCGCCTCGGTGAACTGTTAGGATAATTAAGAGAATTCAGTGAAGCATTTCCAGGGCCATCCGAGTAGTAGTAGCTGGGATCAGTGTTTCATTCATTCCAGGCATTGCCAATAGTAAGCAGATGCCCTGTAAATATAAATGTGCTACAAATAGCAGAGCTGGCAGAGGGCGCTGCTCCAAGGAGCAGCCAGGGGAGGGCAAGGATGGCCCGATCCCCACCCCGACCCCAGCTGACGGGAGGCCCGAGCACCCCCGTGGGTGGGTGGGGATGGCTCGTGCGGCCCGACCTTCACTGCATCGCCTTGGTCTCTCGCAGACATTGACGAGTGTGTGACCGGCATTCACAACTGCTCCATCAATGAGACCTGCTTCAACATCCAGGGCGGCTTCCGCTGCTTGGCCTTCGAGTGTCCGGAGAATTACCGCCGCTCCGCAGACACGTAAGTCCCTCGGCCCGCGGGTGTCTGTCTGTGTTGGCCTTGCTGGGGGCCCGGCTCCCGGCCTGGGCAGGTGGTTCATGAGCTGTGCCCTCCTGCAGGGGTCTTGGGACACTCGAGGACCCCCCTGGTTCTCAGGCCCCTAAATGCCGGCAAGACTGGTCGCAGAAACCAAGCTAGTGGCCTCCTGCGAGCTGGGGGCCGGCGGCCCTGCTCTCCCAGCAGCCTGGGCGCGGAGCCAGGCGGCAGCCACAGCCCTCTTGTTTCCCGGTGTGAAGTTTAAGCAGGGGACAGCTCTCTGGGCCTCGGTTTCCTCATATGTAACATGCAGATATCAGGATGCTCTGAATCAGATGAAGGCAGCAGCGACTCTGGGTGGGCCCACGTGACGGGTTGGGGCGTCATTATTGGGCGAACCCATCTGAGACCCAAGTTGTGCTCAGAACCGTTGACCGAGGGAGTTGCGTGGAAGATTCTGTGTCCTCCGTTTGAAGCTGTGTGTCCATAACGTCACTGTAAGCTCACTCATCCCAGGCCCCTGGGATGTCCACTGGTGTGTCAGGGACCCCCTGTTCCTTGGGGAGTAGTGAGGACCCCCAGTCTCACCACACACCATCCCACCCTGATTTTATTTGGAGAGTCTCAGCGCCGTGGTCAGCTGTTTCGGGAAAAGCTCCAGGGTGGGAGACAATCTCAGGAATGTGGATATGTGATCCCTCCGTCTGGCCCCAGGCCGTGGCTCAGAGCCAGCTTACAGCCAGGCTGTGCGACCTGGCCCCTTGACCTCGAGCCTGCTATTCCCACCAGAGGGTCAGTACCTTCTGGGATAGTACATGGAGCCCCAGCTCCATTTGCTCAGCCCCAGGGCCCTGGCTCCCAGTTCTGGCCCGGCCTCCAGCTTGTTGGAACCCGGAGTGGTTTCAGCCAGACGCTCAGACAGCCAAGTCTCCCGGCCCAGTCTCCCATAGCCCTCTGTGTTCTCTCCAGCCTTGGGGTGCTTGCTCACCCCGCTGCCTCGCCCCCTCCCCTCAGGCCTGCTCCATGCCCCCAGCCTGTGTTCTGTCTGCTTGGAAACCCATCACCCGGCTTCCTCCCCGGGCGCTGGTCAGGGAAAAGCCACTCCAGGACTGGAGTGCTCAGCGTTCCAAAGAGGTGTCATGAGTTACGCAACCCCGGCGGGGGTGACGGTGCTCCTCTGAGTGGTCAGGGAAACGCCGTGTCCTTAATTGAGGCTGTCCTGCTGTTTGTCACTGTAAGTTCCGGTGCTCCGCGGCCCTGTCCGCCTCTGCTGTGTCGCTGACCTCTCACACGGCCACGAACGCAACAGGAAGGAGGCTGCCCCGTGCGGGGTCTTCAGGCCTCACCAGCCCGAGGCTGGGCGGGTTGGCATTGCGCGCTGAGACGGTCTGAAATCTGCCACCCTCGGCGCTGGAGAAACTTACTGACTTGTTTGGGGAATGTTCGCCGCAGGCCTACTGTGTGCAGACACCTGGGCAGAAAGGCCCCCAGCCCCTGCCCACTAGGAGCACCGCAAACCCAGCCAAGGCCACAGAGTTCAGGGGTGCTGAGGCCAAGGGGGGGCGCCTGTGTGCCTGGGGTGGTGGCAGGGGTGCCTGGAGTAGGGGGTGCTTCAATGAAGTGGGAAGGAGGAACTGAGGCAGGTGGAGAGGGAGGGAGTGGAGGCCAAGACTCAGCGGGGCGTGGACATTAAACCAGGGGTGGGGAAAGTATTTTCTGCCAGAGGCCATTTGGATATGGATAACATCATTCGTGACCCATACAAAATTATCAACCTAAAAATTAGCTGTGAACAAAGCTCCTAGATTTATTGAATTTCAAGGTTGCCTTGGTAGCACCGGATGTTACCCACCCCTGCGTTAAACAGAGAAGTAAGGGGTTCCCAGCAGTGAAAGTGGGGTGCTCATCAAGGAAGAGCTCAGTGCCCACTGAGGTTTGATGCTCGGAGGCTTGGTCTGTCCCCGTTTCATGGATTCACCCTCCTGTTCCCTGGGCCAATAAAGAGGGGGGTCGTCATCCTTCATAAGTAAAGGCAGGATGGGCCCCCACCCACTGTGAAGACGAGAGGGGCCGCGTGCGGGGCCGCCAGCCCCTCCAGGGAAGGTGGCTGCCACATTCATGCCCGTGCGTGCTCACTGGCGCCCCCCAAGGACCTGAGCAGAGGCTGGGCGGGGGTGGAGCTGAGTCCCGCCTGAGGAGGGCCAGGCCCCGCCGACGGTCCTCACCCTGGGGGATGCTGCGCCAGCTCTGGGGTCAGGCTCGCTGAAGCTGGCCTCGCAGCTCAGTCCATTCCGGCCCCTTGACCTTGACGGGAAGCAGGTCCCCTGAGCGCCTCAGAGCCTCCACGTGCTCAGTTGTACAGGGAGTGAGGCTCCCGCCCTCCCGGGTCCCTGTAGGGCGGCCTGCGATTGTGGGCAGCGCCCGCTCCGTAAAGCTCGCCCCAGGTTCACCTCCTGTGGCATAATTTACTACCAGGACTGTGGCTCCTGCTCCTCGGTGCTGTGGCCGCGGGTCAGGCTCTTGGCCACACGCGGGGCCCTTTCTGCACCGGCCGTACCTGCTTGGCAAGGCCTTGAGGGCCAGTGAGCACCAGCGGGAACGGGCTCTGGGGCGCGGCCCCTCGGCCCGGGCGCTTAGAAAGAGCGGTGGCGAGGAGGCGGGGCGCTGCGGCCTCCCCCCGACGCGAGTCCGAACGCAGAGGCTCCCGCGGTCTCTGCAGCCCTTGGTCTGTGAGCCGGCTGTGTGGCCGCTGGGTTCCTCGACCCTCTGATGGGAAGGCGGGGTGTGGCTCCTGCAGGCCATATGGTCACGGAGCCACCGCTCCTGCTCATGGTTAAAGTTTTCTCCTGTTTTGACCCCTCTTGAGGATTCCTGGACCAGGTCTGGAATCCCAAGTTGAGGGGCCCATGGGGGTCTTATCCTGGCTGCCCCATCCCAGTCGGGGGACTTCCTCTGGGGCCAGGAGCGCCGATACCTTAGTGTGAGCAGAGTGACCAGTCACTGACGAGTCCCGTCAGTGGGATATTCCATTTCCTTCCTCCTCGCAAACCCAAGGATTGACCTGTGCCCTTGAGAAAGCAGCCTGTACATCTCAGAGGGCTGTGTCAGGAAGGACCTGGTGGCAGCCTGTCCGTGGCTAACATTCAGCGAGAGCGGCTTGTTCGGGGGCCCTCGACAGGCAAGATCGAAGATTCCCTCTCGCTCTCGCTGGGCCTCAGCCTCCCCTCTCTCTCTCCACACAGCCTCCTTCTGGGCAGTGTCCCTGGTGACCAGGGGGCAGTAACTGGAGCATGACCCAGCAGGCTGGGCCACAAACCACAGGGCTGGGCCTCGTGGACCCAGCAGGCTGTTAAGATCCTAACCGCACAATTCCCTCCTGCCCGCAGGAGGGCCGTTCAGAGTGTTCTGGAGCCTGGGATGGGACTGAATATTCCCTTTATCTCCTCCGCGGGGCCGACCTCTGAGACACGTGGTCTTGGAAGCCAGAGCAGGGCTGGGCAGCCTTGGTTGGCATGGCTCTTGGCCTGAGGGCGTATTTCCCCATGGACGGGGGGGGTCGGGGGGTGGTAAAGCCCTGCCCTGGCTGGCTCCTGGGACTCGTCTCCAGAGTGACAAGAGCATGAGAATCAGGGACAACTGCAGGCATCAGACAGCCTGGGGTGGCCAGAATGGCCCTGTGTCCCAGAGAAGGGCCTGGGCCTTGAGGACCTTTTTTCTCTGGTATGTGGTGGCTTTCAAAATTACATTTCACAGAACCTGGGGTGTTGTGGCTGAGAAATTGGGGCACATTTTTCTCGGGTGCGTGGTGAGATGGAAACCAAGGCACGGGTCCCGGGGCCTGGCCCTCCTCTGCTCTGAAATAGATGTGGTGACGGCCGACCCTCCCCAGTCCAGCCCACAGAGATTGTGCTGTTCCCGGCCTGCAGAAGGTTTGCCAGAAATAGCAGTTAGGTTTTCTGGGGCTCTTCAGTACTTTGGGGTACAGCAGGGTAGAACAGTTGATGTTGGAACCAATCAGGAAAAGCGGGGTCATGTTGATTGTGCACATTTCTTCGATTCTTTTATTTTTATTTATTGATTTTAGAGAGGAGAAGGCAGAGAGAGAGAGAGAAACATCAATTTGTTGTTGCGCTTATTTATTCATTCACTGGTTGATTCTTGTATGTGCCGTGACTGGGGTTTGAACCCACAACCTTGGCGTATAGGGATGACACTCTAACCAACTAAGCAACCCGGCCAGGGCTGATTTCTGCACATTTACTAAACACACAGTAGGCATTGAGCCCATGCTGGGCGCTGGAGATAAAGCCAGAGAGCCCATCCACGCCCTTGGGAAGCGAGTGGTCTAGGAGTCAGGCCCAGAAATGCCCCGCGTGAGGATGGCTTCGGGTGCCCTGGTTACTGACCCTGTGGGGCTGGGAGGGGGGACCACTGAGGAGCAAGGAGTGTCTGGCTTTCTGGTGAGTGACGGCTGCGGGAGCTGTACCAGACTGTCACGCACACCTCACATTCCCCCCCTTCCGCACTTGCTGGGTTGATGTTTCCAAATCAAAGCCCTGTCCTTGGACCGGGACAGGCGCACAGAACTGGGAAAGCTTAACGCACATAAAGGAGGCTCTGGCGCCACCTGCTGGCCCGGCCCACCAGGCTCTTTCTGAAGCAGCTGGGGCCGGGGGTATGTGCATGTGTGTGCNTGGGAAAGCTTAACGCACATAAAGGAGGCTCTGGCGCCACCTGCTGGCCCGGCCCACCAGGCTCTTTCTGAAGCAGCTGGGGCGGGGGTATGTGCATGTGTGTGCGTGTGCATGTGTGTGCGTGTGTGGGTGCTTGCATGTTTGAATGTGTGTGCGTGTGTCGGTGCTTGCATGTTTGAGTGTGTGTGCGTGTGCGTGTGTGCTTGCATGTTTGAATGTATGTGTGTGTGTGAAGGCTTTGANGTGTGTGCTTGCATGTTTGAATGTATGCGTGTGTGTGAAGGCTTTGAA